TTTCCGAGCAGGTGCAGTATCACTGCGCTTTGCTTATACTCAACCACTCGTTTCTACAGCACCCCAAGCAGGGAGCAAATTATTATTCCCACGTGCTGACTGAGGAGGGGCACAGAGAGGCTCAGTATATGTCCCGGGGTCACTCAGCTGGGTCTGGCAGGGTGTGCGAGGGGCATGTGGTAGCCTCACCCAAGGTGCCTCAGTGACACAGCCTTCCCGAGTCACACTGCAGAGTCCACCACGGTTCTCCAGAGGGAAGCTGTGTCCTCCACGCCACGTCCTCAGTGCCCAGAGGCAGTCTGCTGCCCTGAGTTTGCTGTGTGACTTTGATCGCTGACCCTAGCTTCCTTGTTAATCTTGCCTCCCACTGGCTGGGTCCCTGTGGCGATCAAATATACCAGCTCTAGCTCTGGCATTGGCCCCAGTCTCAGCGAGCTACAAGGCCATGGGATCCACGCCCCCACTAGAAGGCTACCAGCTAACGGGGGACAGAAGGAGCTTTTCAAGACCAACCCTTCCTAGGGTAGGAAGTAAGTAGCCAGGCCCCAGAGAGGCAGCCCCAGCCCAGTGTTGCAGGGGCCACTGAACGGTGCGCTACTAGCCCTGGCCACTTGGTGGCAGCACAGACACGTGCAAGACTCAGTGGCTGCTCAATGTCTAAGGCGGCTGCTCAGCCGCCTTCCTCCCCAATGTTTTAGCCCCTGAGATGTTCAGACAAGCGGAAAGGTTGAGGAAACTGGAGACCCCGCAGACTCACCGTCCTATCCCATAACTACATCTTTACTCATCCCCCAATCGTGCATCCTGCTCTTAGAACGCATTTCCAAATGAGTCGTCCACATCCCTGGATCCCTGCTTTGGATCGTTACCTGGAGTTGTGTTTATCTGTGTGCTTTACAGGTAAAATCGACAGTGAAATCCACAGAACGGAAGTGAGCCATTCATGAGGATGAAAAAGGCAGACACTGTGCTCCCAAATACGATAGAGACAGAAAATATTACAACTGCGTTTGATTCTCTCGGCAGCTGTGGGCTCACTTTTCAGGACTAATTTTCTGTTTTGTTTTGATTTTTAAGAACAATAAGGGAGGGAGGGTGAGAAACAAGTTGAGTGAACGCCGCCATGTATAGGAACCTAACAACCTGAATGACTGCAATCGTTCTAAATTACAAATATGAGCTAAGATGCATACATCGGTCAGAATGAAGACGGGGCAAGGGGATGTAGAGGGCCAGGGAGGTCGGGATACGGGAAGGGGAGGGGATGTGAAAAGGAAACAAGCTGCAGTTGTGCCTGTGCCCACTCTCGAAGATGACTGCGAACGTCTAACCAACACGAACAAGCAGACAGAAATGTAATCATAAAAAGAACAGTGGGAACACGCAGCGGAAGAGTGCACTAGGGAGCCTGAGCCACCGCAGACGCGGTTCACACTCCACTGGCTTGGAGGGAACTTTTGCTCCTGATTTCCGACCGGTCCTGTAGGCACGGTGGGAAACCTCACCCAGCGTGCTCCCTCCTGGGAGTGAGCACACCAACATTTTAGCAATGGTCCCCACTCCACTGACCGCCGAGGATCTTTTAAGCAGGACCGGCCAACTCTTCCCTAGTTATTTGGAGGTGTGGAAATATATTCTCTGGGGAGCGAACGCAGTGAGGAGGCCTGGGCTCAGGTCATCTTCTGCAGACTGGGCAGACGCAGGGCAGGGAGTGCTCTGAGTCTCTGTGGGCCTCCGATTCTCCATCTTTCACACAGTTGCATCCTAGGACTGCGAGGTACCCGGAAGCTAACGGAGGGGTCCCCAACATTGGAAAGCGTCTGTGCACAGCAGAGGGTGAGCAGCAGGCCGGGGAGCGAACGTCTCCTCTGCTTCCAGCTGCTTCCCTCACCGGTATCACGGCCTGGGCTCCAGCCCGCAGATCAGCAGCACCATCAGGTTCCCAGGGGCACAGCCCTGCGCGTGCGGGGGACCCAGGCCCCAGCTCCTTCGGGACCCTAGCAGTGACAGAATTCGAAAGAATGCCACCTGGTAATGTGAGTTGCTTTGCTTCCCAAGTAGAGTATGGGTTCTTTGTGGATAGGGCCACGTACAGTTTTATTCTGGATCCCATCAGAGTTCCGATCACTCTGAAAGGAAGATGTTCTGAAGTTGCCCCCTGGCTGGAAAGGACGGGCACCACGGTGGGTAGCTCCTGCTCTCTGGGTGACGCAGATCTGACCTCAAAACACAGCTCTGCCCCTTACAGGTTGGGTGGCCCGGGACAAAAGACCCCCATTCTCTGAGCTCAGTTTCCTCATCTGCAAGCTAGAGGAGACACTGTCCCTCTTCAGGAATACCACGAAGACTCTGTGAGCCCGTGCCCGACGCGTAGCAGGTGCTCACAAAGTGACACCTCGTGTTGTTAGCGTGCTTGTGAAGGAGGAGGAGGGACGGGAGCCACTCCATAAAATGATGTCAGATTCGCTCCCTGGAGGCTCACGCGGAAGGACAGGCACAAGTGCCTGACATGGGACTGCACGAGAAGTAAGGGTCACTTCACACGGGTGCTGACCAGGTAGCTGTCACTGCACGGGTAGTGCTTTCCGGGAAGGAGCTGGATCGAGACGCGCCTGTGTGAATTCGCACGGCAAAGCGGCAGGCCAGGGAGTGAAGCTTCATCTGTGTTTCCAGCCGCTGCTCCCTGCTGGCATCACAGCCTGAGCTCCAGCCGTCAGAAGAGCGGAGCCTGAGAGGAGGGGCAACGACCTCGCACGCCAAGGAAGCAGGTCTGACCGGGAAGCACCCTTCAGCCGGCGACGGGTGGAGAAGAAGCCAAGACTGGCAGGCAGGACTGGGTGTGGAGAGGATGCTGTGAGGCAGGCCCAGTGTGTATCCCAGCAGGTGACTAGAACAATGCAGCCTTCTCGGAATAGGTAATAGGCAGGGATCTAGCAGGTAATGGAGTCAGACCCACCACATGTTGGGTATAGAGGGACTTCCTGGCATGGGGCCGGGGATAGAAAGAACCAGAGAGAGTGGGGTATGCACGAGGGTCTTGGGTCTCAGAACGAGGCTTCACTCATTTCAGCAGCCAAAAGGTGTGTAAGGTCAGAGAGCTGGGTCATCTGTGCCAAAGCCCGGTGGGCAGCAGGGGTGGGGGCTGTGTACCTCAGCCCACCAGTGTCCCTGGGCAGCTCCCCGTGGCTAGCAGGGCTCAGCGAACATCAGTTGCCTCTTCTTGTGGGACTGTCAGAGCAGCTTTGTGACAGCGGGCCTCAGGGAAGGGCAGAGTTAGGGCCGTCTGCTATACCCAGGTGACAGCAGGGACGACAAACACATGTCCTCTGCTTGGGAACAGCTCCTGGTCAGTGTGCGGAGGAGTTTGCGGCCAGACCAAGCAGAGCCAGAGAGCTGCGATCGCTTAGTCACGCCTGTCGGGGGCAAGGCCAGAGGGCGCCCCTCCGCTCCCTCTATCTGCCATTTCTGTTCAAACGATTTTAAGATTATTATCATTTCTTCCTTAGCTTAAAACCAAAACCTGTTAGAGAAGAGGCAAGATGCAGGCTTTCCATTCTGGGGGGACATGGCTGCTACTCACAGGTCCCTGCTCCCTCCTCCCACTCCTCCTGCCCCTGCCCCTCTACCTTCCTCTCTTCCCGTCACCCCTCCTTTCCTGTCCTTCCCCTCTTCCTCTAACTCACTTCCCTCCCTTGCTGTTTTCCCCTTCTGTTTTTTTCCAGGGAGCACAACCAGGTGATGTGGACTCAGAGTCGGGATTCAGAATGGGGATTTCAGCATCGGGATCAACAACATTCAGCCCTAACGTCTAGGAGGAGCTGGAAGCCAGGGTCAGGTTGCCAGAGTCCTTTGCGTGGAGGCAGCAGGCAGACAGCAACCGAAAGACGGCCACTGAGCATTGCAGTCACAGGACTGTGGGGCTGGGAAGGGTCCTGTCTGGGCATAAAGCTCGGCTCAGCACAGGTCTGGGTCGGGGCAACGCAAGGAAACCCAGTGGTGCAGAGCCGACGATTCGCACAGGTATCTGATACTGCAAAGGCAGTGCCTTCCAGGACAGAGCTAGACCGAGGAGTGTCTGGATGGAGCCCATAGGATGCCCAGGAGAGGGGTGATCGAGGCCAGACCAAAATCAGTCACTTGGGGGCAGTGACATTTCTGGGTTACAGTGACCTCTCCAGCATCTGTGCACTTGGGAAGGGGAGGAGAGTAGCAGGGTTTGGTATCTGGCTCAGCGCCCTCTTTGTTCTCACCTGTGCGCCCCTCCCGCAAGGTGGCTCTGTCCCCCCCACAGAATGCCCACACATGGAAGGCCCCACCCCTGCTGAAGACAAATGTTAAGTCCAGTCCTCCCCACGCCACGGCTCAGGCTGTATGCACAGGGTCTGCGCTGCAGGAGCAGATGGCCCTGCATCTCTGCCCCCCCACACAGTTGCCCTACCCCCACTGCTGACTTGTTTTCAGTTATATTCTATCCTCCTGCCAGTTGGGAGACTTTTAGTTACTTGCTGAAATACCTTCGGGTCTCAGGGCCTTTGCTCAAGTGGTTCTTCTGCCCAGAACACCCTGCTGGGAAAACTCCTATGCACCCTTCAAGACCCAATATAGATGACAGTTCCTCTGGAAAGCCTCTCTGTTTGGTGCCCCTGGCCAGATCTGTATGTTTGAAAGCGATATTAGAGTGAGATTGGTGAGGACAAACAGTGGCGGGTGAACTAGCTCACTTGCCTTCGCCATGTCTGCCCCAAGACTGGCTGGGTGTCTGTGGCCTTTGCACAAGCCCTCCAGTCTGCCAGTCACCTCCGTGCTCTTCCCCAGCCAGGGCTAGAGCGGACCCGAGGCAGGGATACCTCCATGACACCATGTCGCTGTGTGCCATGGCCAGGGAGGGGCAGTGGTCATAGGGAGCCAAGCAGGAGCACTGCAGGCCTCCTGTCACCATGGAGACCAGGCCCGTGGGCAGCCAGGCCCGGGCTGGTCAGTGAATGAATAAACGTGGCCCATTTTTCTGCCTTTGTTTGGAGCCTCCCTGCGGCTTCCTGCTGTCGGCCCCAGCTGTGGGGAAGGCGGAATTTTCCTGATATCGCAGAGCTGCCGCCTGGCAGCGCCAAGCCTGGCCTGGGCCGCCCCACGCCAAGATTCATACCCGGCAAACAAGTCGCACTTTGTTCCTGTGGGAAAGTCCGGCCTCTCAGGAAAGAGCCGGCCCCTGGTCTGGGGACGCAGCAGGGCAAACAAAGCCTCCATCCGCTGGCGATGACTCATGGGCCCCAATGGCCACCTCCGTGCCCGGTGAGAGGACGGATCTGCTCCAGGGTTGGGATTCCGAGCCATCCCTTTGTCCCTTATCCGGAAGGCCCCGGGTGCGAACCACAGGACGGACGGCCTCCCTCGCCAGCCCTTGCTGTCCCTCCCGTTGCAAAGCAGGGCTATGTACAGGGCTGCGCAGGGGCAGCGGCATGGACAGAAGAAACTAGCGGGGTCCCCGGAGACCCCACCGGAAGTTGGCCCAGCCCTGCCCCCTGCCGTTGAGGCCCCAGGGATTGGCACCAGCTCCTGCTGGGCGGAGTCCTGATGGCATGGCCCAGAGGATGACAAGGAGAGGCTTCATGCCGGGCTCTCGATGCAAGGCCCCCACACTTATCCCGCCAGACATCTGCAGAGGAGAATTCCCGGGCTTGACTTCAGGCCCTTGGTGTCTACGGGAGACAGGAAGGAACAGGAAGAAATGATGAGGCCGGGGGATGGGGACTGAGACTTTTGAGATCCCTGCCCCCCTGGTAGGTTCCCAACAGCAGCAACCACGCTACTACCGCGGGAGGACATGGATCCCGTCAGCAGCAGAGCCTGGGCCACGGGTTGGAAGACAAGCAATCCCGAAGAACAGCGGCTGTGGAGTGGGACTCTGGACAAGGACGAGAAGGTGCGGCCGAGCATGCGGGCCCAAGTTCTCCACAGAGACAAGACAGACAGGCTGCCAGCGCTGAGATACCAGAGGGGCTTTACACTTCCGAAGCTCCAGGTCCCAGCCAGGCCTCCTGGGAGCTGGAGACCGTGGGGTGCTCTGCGCATGTCCAAAGGCCTCAGACCCTGGAGCCTATGGAGTGCCTCTCAGTCCAAGGCGTGGCGAGGGCGTCCAAAGGTCAGGGAACCTGGCATTCTGACGCTCAGGGGCAGCAGCGTCCCGGGTCCAGGGGAGGTTCATTTGCATTTACTCCACCTTCTGTTTCATCTGGGCCCAGCCCTCTGGGCGGAGCTGCTCACACTGTGGGCAGATCTTGCCGACTCAGTCCCCCGACCCACATGACAATCATCCCTAAACCTCCCCGAGAAACGCGCTCTGGACACGCTCGGAAGTCACACTTTAGCAGCTGCGTGAGTGTCCTTACCCCAGGGGAGGCATCACCCCGAATCCACTACCGCAATCAAGCAAGTGGGTCCCTTGGGCAACTGGAGCACAGTCCCACTGGGCCAGCGTGGAACACAGTGGAGAACGTGTGCCTCGAGGTTTTCCTGCCCCATCGCTGTGCTCGCCAGGGCAGAGTCCCTGCGGGACCAGAAAGGGCTGGACGGCGAGCTCCACCAGGATGCCGGCGGTGGCTGCTGCTGCTCAGCTCCAGCAGGATTTGAACCCCAGAGGGCTGGGCTTCCTGTACTCTGAGGCACTTGTGTACTCAGTCTCTTGCCCAGGGAGCTCCCTTCTCTAACCTACTGGACACAACTCTCCTACGGGAGAGGAGAGGTTTAAGCAATCAAGTTTCAACAGTTACATGTGACCCAGACTCACACCCAAGCTCCAGAACTCTTGGCCCTGGAGAGAAAGAGCAGGTGCTTAGCCTGGCATTCAAACTTGCTGTCGTACTCTGCTCTCCCTTTCCTCCCCGTCCCTCTCCAGTCCCCTAGGTAACAGCCCCTCTGCCTGCTGGATTACATCTCAGAGAAACAGCCAGTGAGAAGTGCGATGCTAGCAGAAAAGTTCACTGCAGCAATTTCAGACTTGCAGGATTTAAACAACTGCCCAAATTGAGGGTTTCTGAAATTACTTCACTTATCTCTTCTTGGCCTTAAGATTGCTTTTTATAAATTGAGATGATGGCAATGTTTCTCTTTTCCACCAAGAGGCATAAAGGGACCCAATTCCATTCTGTAACCCAAAACATAAGCTTTAATTTTCCATTTCCTCTGCAGCTATAGTAAAGCTGTTAATCTTTCAGCCTGTGTGGCTGTGCCCATCTTGAATGTCAAGGCAATGTGCGAGCACTCGCTGCTTCCCTGTGGCTTATCTGAGCAGAGCCCTGTAAAACAGACATGGGCAGTCAAAGCCTGAGATCATTAGGGGCCCTGGAAGATGAGGAACGCTCTACACATTTAGTGAGCATCTACTATGTGCCGGGTCTGGCACTGGGTTGTGGGGACACTGAGTAAGAACCAGCCCCACCCACTGGACACAGATGGGACAGCACATTATTTCCTTCCCATGTGGTGAGCTGACCCAGTGAGATGCCGAGCACCACCCCACCCCACCCTGTGGAATCAAGACCTCGCCTGACACAGGCCAGGAGTGGAGGTGTGCCCATCCCTGCAATCCCACAGCACTCTGGGAGGCTGAGCCCAGCCTGGGCCAACTAGCAACCTCATGAGACCCTGTAATAAAAAGTAAAGTTTTTAAAAGGAGATGTAGCTCAGTGCATGGGCCCTGGGTTCATTCCCCAGGAACACCCCACCCACTCAGAAAAACAAAAACAAAACAAAACAAAAAAAAACAACCCAATGCAGAATCCATCAGACAATTTCTTCTGCTAGTCCTCTCCTCACTTTTCTGCAGTCCTTCCCAAAGATCGCTGGTGTGAGAAATCTGAGCATGCTCAGTGCTCCAGAGGTTCAGCTCCTTTTCCAAAGGGCCTTCAGGGATTTTGTGCACACTGGAGAATACACTGTGGTCAAGCTCTAAGTAATTTGTGCCAAATATTCTACTGTTTAATATATGGTCCCTGACTGGAGATAGGCATAGCGATTCATGCCTGTGTCCCAGGAGGATTTTGAGTTCAAGGCCAGCCTGTACTATACAGCAAGGTCCTGATTCAAAAACAGAAAGAAAAAAAAAGATAGTGGTCCCTGGCTATAGCTGGGGTTAGTGAAAAGGTCATTCAAACCATGGGCCGGGCCTTTTTAACATCAGACCCTTGGTGGTGGACACCTCAGGGTTCTCAAAAGGAAAGTCCAGAGGACACGTTGGAGAGGAAGACGCGCATCTCCAGAAGGAGGTCCTTGCTCATCTGAGAACGTGCTGAGGACACAGCACCATTGAGAAACAGCAGCGCCTAAGTGCCATGTAGGAAAGGGTTTAAGATCTGAGCCACTTGAGAATGTGCATACTGTTGCCAGGGTCCCGTTGGGATGACACAAAGGTCGAGACAAAAACACCATGAAAGTTACTACCTTTCATTAGAAGCAAAAGCCACAGAGACAAACTGTCTGGTTTGGACTTCGGTGACAGAACTGGTGACAGTACAGCACATGCCCTGTTGGGACTCTGGTGCCTCTGGGTTAGGTAACATCGAGTCATCTCTGGGTGGTGTGAAGCTTCAGTCAGCATTGGAGCCTCGACCCCTCCCCGTCTCCAGGGCTGATATCTTCCCCAGCTCATCTGCGCTGGCCCGGACTTTCTGGCTGCCGGCTGCCTGCTCAGCAGGTGCGAGAAACTGATACCAATCTCACTCAGCCCTGTCCTGAGTGCTGGCAGCTGAGTCAGGCCTGTGGAAGGCCAACTGCTGTGTTTACCAGCCCCTCAGAAGTGGTTCTCAAACCTGGCTGTGCACTCGAATAACCAGAGGTGCTTCTGAAAATACCCACATCAAGTCCCACCCTACAGATGCTAGTGGATTGATCTGGGGTGTCGCCTGGCCATCAAAGTTCCCTCAGTTGACTAATGTTCAGCCAGAATTATGGTCCTGCCCTAGAAGGATAAGAAAGTGGCCCAGCTAACTGTTTCCTTTTTTAAAAACTAACAATGTCATAGTATGAGAGGTCCTGAGAGGTCCTGGGTAAAGATCCCTATGTTTCCCAAACGTATCCAGCGGTGGAGCCCTGTTGTCTCCCAACACCTACTCACTCTGAGGAGACCACAACGTGTAGAACATGTCACGACACGCGGGGAACACAGCCGAGGGCCTACCAAGGAAGACTTTCGGAGAAGCCATCCTGGAGGGTGGAGGGACCCAGGTGAGTGGGGATAAAGGCTCTCGGGAGGCAGAATGGCACTCTGACTTTGCCCCGGTCGGAAATTGTAGAGTTGATGACTCTTGTCACTCTCCACACCTTGACCCCCGGCTTGACCGTCTCATTTGCTCTAGCAATGACGGGTGAGAGGGAAGGACACATGTCCCCTCTTGGTTGACACTCTAGTGGCCACTTCCTGGAGTCATTGAGTTCTGTGTCTTCTTATTACTGGGGTCAGGGACACCCCAGATAGAGACTGCTCCCTTAGTTTAGATCCTGGAGAAAGGGGGACAGACCACCACCAGGGGAAGAGTAAGAGCAGCAAGAATGAAACCTTGGTGGCTGGAAGCCGCTGAGACGCTGGGGCTCCTTCTCGCTGCAGCTAACGTAGCCTGTGCTGGTGCCGACTGCTGTGCCCAGGGAAATAGCACTGATGGCGGACACTCTTCTCAAGGAGCTGGACGTTCACACGGAGTGTTCAAACCATCTGCCTTGTCTGGAAAGTGTTTAGAAGCACTTTGAACTTGACCTTTGTAGATAAAACCTCCCTTCTGTTCAGGTGGGCAGGGTCAACCGGAAGCTCTGCGTACATTTTTGCTCAAATAAGACAACAAAATGCCCTTCCTGGAGGCGATGCCTAACCTTTAACAGTCTCCTTTCAGAACTTGGAGGTGCAGAAGGGAACGCTCTGGGGGACATGACTTAAATCAGTGGATGTTATTTTTGGTCTGTGCCCAACACACACAGGCGCTCTGTCACCCACCAGGAGGGAAACAGCTCAGTCAAAATGTCAAGGCAATAACTCCACAAGAACTTTCGGTTTCCTGCTCCGGGGACAATCAGGCAGCAGAAGGTAATGTACATCTGACCTCAGAAGAGAGGCCCAAGGAGAAGACGCAGCTCATCTTTTCACTGTGCCCTGAACCAGCTGCGTTCGCCGCATCCGAGCCTCACAGCCCATCCTGAAGCCTGTGAGTCCCTCATTGCAACTTTCTCCCGTGAAGACTTCCAGCCCCCACAGGACTGTAGGTTGGTTCTTTGCCAAGAGGACTTGGAGGGGGCCTGACTAGGGGGCAGGGGACTGGCCTCCAGGTTGGAGGATATTACGGGGCGGAAGGGAGCCGTAGGAGGCTCTGAGTGCCGCTCCCTCTGGGCCCGGGCACGGATGCAGCACCACAGACACAGCCAGGCCTGCCAAGGGCATGGCTGGCCCTCAGCAGGGTGGAGTGGGCACCTGGGCCTGCAGGGAAAATACTCGTGTTCCCTCCTGCTGGGAAGGATCGGAGCTTCAGCACGGTACAGGGACAGCCCTTGCTACCTTCTGAGGTCCACCTCCCACCTGGCTCTCCCAAGACGTCCTCTGGCCAGCGAAGGGACCCATGCTGCCTGAGTGACATACACCTTGAAAGTGACTTGGTTTTTTGCTGGCTGAAAGTGAGGCCCATGGAAACTGACCTGGGTGCTGAGTTACTAGAGAAAGGAAGAGGCACAGAGAGAGGGTGCGGGAAGGAGGCAGAGACTGCGCTTTTCAGCTTCTCTGTCAGCAGAGGAGCCACCTGAGACTGAGGGAGGAGGGCAGCACTGTGCTGCTGTTGAGAGTGGCTGGGGAGAGGAGCCCCTCAGACGCTCAGATCAGTGCGTTTCCAAGGTGAAATGGCTCTGTGAGAGGTGAGGAGCTCTCTCAAAAGCCCTCCAAACCTGGAGCATCTGCAGTACATAAAGAGCCCCTACAAACAAATGCAAAGACAGCCCAAAGGTGCCTGGGCGGAGATGCGAACAGGCACCTGGCACAGAAGTCCAGATGCTCACTACGTGTATGTGCGCAAGGAGGCTCCACCTCATTTCAGATCAGAGAGGGCGAGTTAAACCCACAGACACAGCGGGTGCTGAAGCTCCTCCTGGGCCTTCTCTCACCCCTCCAGGTACCCAGGAGCCCCTGACTCCTTTTCTCCTCCCGTCATCTTCAGGGAAAGGCTCCCTCACCTTGGCCAAGGCTCCATCTCCCTCTGAGCCTTGACCTTCTCAGCCAGAAGGCAGGAACTCTGGACCACACACACTCCACAGACCCTTTCAGCTTTTCTACCTGGGATTTTTCTCAGACCTCATTGAAAGCAAAACTCCCAGGCTTCCTCCCTGCAGTGCTGAGACTTGTTCAGGTTCAGGTTCAGGTTCAGGTTCAGGTTCAGGCTCAAGGCTGGGACATCCTCTCTGGTGCATATTAAAGTTCACCCTTTACAGCCCTGAGTCCCATGTATGGCTCAATCAGAGCCCCTGGAAGTACACACTGGTAAACACCATTGTATGTGGCTTTCCTTAGTTCTTCTTTGACATGTGATAGTCACACATTTATGGGGTGTGGTGTGATGTTTCTGTTACACGCACATATGGTAGAATGGCCAAATCAGGGGAGTTAGTCTATCCATCCACTCAGACCTTTACTTAGTCTTCATCACTACAGTTAATGATACTGTGGTATATATTTGAAAATAACCACGAGGGAGGATGCTGACTAGAAATCAGCATGTTTAGGCATCTCCCTGGGGGCCGTGATGCATTGAGATAGGAAAAACAAGGGCTATTCCTGAGGGACTAAGGAAGCTAACTCTGCCTTGGTTTCCTTTGGCCCACAGTAGGAGAGATGGCTTCACAGAGCCTTGGACCTGTGGACAGAGAGGCGGACCTGGAGCCGTGCGGCAGGGAGGGCGCTGGGGCTTCTGGGTAAGGGAAGGGTGGGGAAGGGAGGCCAGCTCACCCCACCTCATACATCACAGGCCAGGAAGAGCAGGGCAGGCAGCTCTGCCTCCATATACATCACGCATTAAATGCCTCACTGGTGCCCCACAAGAAAGCTTTGTGAAGCAGGGCTCAAGGGAGAGGGTGAGCAATGACCAGAAATCAACCTTGGGCCAGCTCAGCTCCAGGGTCTCCGCTCCACAAGTCTCCTCACGCAGGGGCTTGAAAAAACAGCTATTTTTTTTTTTTTTAAGAGGGAGCATTTGGCTCTGAGTTTGAGGGCTTACAAAAGGCCCTCAAAAAGGAGACAGAAATCTATTACCCGCCTGGCCAGAAATAGCACTGGGGGAGGCTGGGCTAGAGCCAAGGGGCGAAGCTGTCCCAGGGGACCTCAGGGCCTCTGCGAGAGGGGTAGGGCCTGTGGGCTGAGGGGAGGCTGTGAGGGACACTGCAGCCTCAGGAAGTCTTGGGGCAGTGGTTTTCATTTCAGGCTCCCTGGTTCTGGTTTAGGAATCACTCAGGGGTGTCTGGAAAGCATACTGGACCAGCATCCAGGTATGTGGGCTCTGTCCCCAGGTGGAGGGCTCAGGTAAGGCTGCAACCATCAGAGAGGGAGCCTTGGACACATCTACTGGCTGCCAAGGTAGGCTTGCCAGCCCAGGGGAGTGCTGTGGGGAGGGTTAGGGCTGTGCACGGTGGCTGAGCAGGTCCATAAAGCAGTAAGCACCCATCAGCAGGCACAGGGAGTATGGGTAGGGGCCCACAGCACCTGCCCTCTAGGTATTATCCTGGGGCTCAAAACTGTGGGAGGGACCAGGTGTTTGTACCCAGGGTGATGGTGTACTTCCCAGGTAGGCTTTGGGGTTGAGTTGAACCTGTGGCAATAGAAACAGGTGGCAAAGGACTATGATGGGGGATGGTGGGTGTACCCTCCTGAGATGGGGGATGAAGGTGTGAGGATGTCTCAGGAGCCCTGCCCAAGCCTCCAGGCTCAGAACTCATCCATTTGTGCTCTCTCTTCCCATTTCTGCACTATCCAAGTCTGCTCCAGCAACTCCGCAGGAAGCAGAGGAGAAAGCCAAGGCACAGCAATTCCCTGTGCAGCAATCAGGGCAGTTAAACAGGTACCTGGGGAGCAGGGCAGGCGGGCGGCCAAGCAGACTCCTGCAGTAAGCGGGGAACCCCCTGCACCAGCACGAGACAGAGATGAGAGAGAGAGAGAGAGAGAGAGAGAGAGAGAGAGAGAGAGAGAGAGAGCACCACACTGGAGAGGTCTTTCCTCCCCTGCTTCAAAAGGATCTGCGGCAGACTCAGCCAGAATGAGTGCTCAATTAAACACACTTTTTAATTTCCTTGTCCTAAACGCAAAGGCATGTGGGGAACCAGGGGAAGAGCAGCACTTCCAGCCAGCACTTGACGTCGAAGATTTGTGGCCAGAGAAGGACGAAGAGTTTGGGGTAGCAGGGAAGCGTGCTGGGCCTGGGCTCAAGACTTTTTCCAATGAGGACAGCACACAAACACCCAGAAGACACCAAAGGAGGGAATAGGAAATGTTCCGGAGAAAGGTCATGCAGGCCGACACCACAGTCGGCATACTGAGGACCCTCAGCCTGCCTGTGGAGGGCCAGAAGGGAAAAGGACGCTGGGATTGGAGGGCCAACCCAAACAGATTCTGCAAGACAATACAGAAAAGAGACTTGGGCTACAACCCTGGCTTATCACTCACAAGTTGTCTAACCCTGACCATAGGATTTCAACTCTTGAGCCATACTGGCCTTATCTGCAAAATGGAAACTATGATAATCTTGCACCGACCTTCTAAGGTGGGCAGGAAGAGTAACTGGAGGAAGCTATAGAGAGCACCTGATATATCAGGCACTCAACTCTCACTGGCCCCAGAAGACAGGTGGTTGTGGAGTAATAAAATCAACAGTTGAGTGTGGGTGCCTTGCCATGCGCAGACTTGGCTGAATGACCTAGACGTGTTTACTAACTTGCTCAAGCAGAAAGCTAGGATCAGGGAAATGCAGAGCCTGGATGAACTAACCTGGGACAAGGGAGGGTCCATATGGGCGGCAAGCAGGGCGCAGTGGGCGCACTGCACTGAGGGAGACGTCTGGGGCATAGGGGGCCCAATTTTGTGGATGGGCTGGAGAATCAGGTTGCGGTGGTCCTTGACGTCTACAAGCCATGGGCATGGCTGCATTAGGATAACTACCCTGTGGTCTGCATGCCACTGCTCTGTAGCTGGTGTCTCTGGCTGGCATGGCCCATCTGTCAGAGGATGCTCTCCCAGAAGACTCCAAGTCCTCCTCCTTTTCAGTGACAGCTATTGCATGGAGTTGAGTTGACTTCCTCCTTTGTACTCATGAATGAACCCTGGGAGAAGAGGCAGTGGGACTGGGAAAGGGCCTTCAGCTGGCACGAGCGACGCAGCTCTCAGGACCACAGCCTCGACCAGGTGCAGCTTCTGTGTAGCCAGGAGTCTAGTGCCCTTCCCCTAATTTTCCCTCCTCTGTGGGTCAGGACTGACTCACAGAGGGAGCAAGGGTTGAGTCTCCACGTTCAAAAGCTGCAGGGCTACGGCTGAGCAAAGACTGGAGACGGCAAAGGCCGCTGACAGCCCCTGGCTCAAGCAGTGCCTCAGTTTCTCCCTATGGGCACTGCAGAGGATGGTGCCAGCTCTCCAGCAGCTTCTGTCTCCCTAAAACCGAACTAGCTAACCCTGCCGTGGGAATGTCTGTGGAGACACCCACAGCAAGGATCACACGCTGGAGTCGATCCCCAGGGATCCCCTGTGAAGAACCGAGGCAGTAGAGTCCAGTCTGGAAACCCTCGAAGGTCTGACAAGTGCCCAACTCCATGAGACATCGTGCGCCACTCCTCAGAGGCTCCCGGGTTGGGAAACTCCAAAGTGTGCGTTCATTCTGTGTCTCCACCACTTCCGCCAAACACCTGCATCACAGTACAGGAAGAACTCCAAACCTCCGTCCACTGAGATCTGCTATTCCTTCTGTTTTGTGTCTGCTTCCTCCAGGATGCTGTGCTCCCCTGACAGTTTCTTCCCTTTCACCCTCCATCTGCACCTGTGTCTTTATATCCCTTTGCTTTTACTCATCTGTGCAATTGTGATAAAGTTGCAACCTTAAGTTACTCTGCGCTGTTTCTCTTGGATGCAGAGGGGCCTTGATGCTTTCTTGTAGGGTGGTATTGAATCAGATGGCACATGCACG